AGAACAGAGGCACAAAGTAACTAACCTGTGAAAGAAGGGAAGATGAACTTCACAATATTCAAATGAATTCTTGACTTTGTTGCTGAGTCTTAACTGGACTGAAACCTGCACAGAGTTTGCATCTCCCTAACGTAAGATCATGGCAGGATTTCTTTTGAACTCTTATATCTTTGTTTGCCAATTTCACTTTACTATTAAAAAATACTACAATAACTCTCTGATACATATACTGCATCGAACATGCATGGCCTATCCACAGCTCACATCCAACATAAGTCAGATTACTTATAAATGGTGTTAATCATCGGAAAAAATATGAAGAATTGACAAATCTTATTGTTGTGACAGCAACAACAAAAACAAACTTAGGATTATATATAAATTTCTTTCCTTCCAGCATAGTTTAACAGCTCATGCACCATGATAGCTGAGCCAATTGAAACTCTTAAATGGCATATCATAGTCATACAAAAATCTAGTGGTTGTTGTCTTTTTAACAGGTTTCGTCATTATGTATGTAAAAAGGCTGGTGATAAAGGTTCATTCTTTGCTAGAAATGAGCAAAGAAGCAGCGGGCGCTTAAGAGGGAGGTACAGTAGGCAATGAGCCATGCATAATCATCATTCGTAACCCCTTTCACTCATCTCCTCTGATGGAAATCCAATACTATGCAAGGAAGCACACTTTACCTGCATCTGGTATATCCCTTGGACTGGCAAGCCATGTGGAGTCTTGGCAGAATAGTGACACAGAGGGAATGATTCTGTCGGAGGCCTGAATCTTACTTTCCTACCTACCAACTCAGGCCCTTTGAGCATCTGGGATGGTTGAAAGGAGGGGATCTGGACATGAGTATCTCCTTCAAGCACACAGGGGTGGACCACAAGAAAATCCAGGGTGGAGGAGGTGATGTTCAGTGTGATTTCTGGGATACCCTCCAAGTCAGCCTGGTAAAAAGAGTCATCAGACAATGGTCTTAGTATGGGTCTTAACATATTTTGCCCAACAGAAGGAAAAGGGGTCTTTTTACTGTTAATCAATTTAAGGGTAATTGGCTGCTGGCCACATGGTCATTTGAAGGTTGAATTCTCAGTTTTATTAAGAGACATACTAAATAAATATTGTTTTTACCAAAACAATCAAATGTTGTCTGCATTATCAATACTGTAAATTTTCCCTATCACTAATAAGTAATAGTTGTGTAACTTGTATAGTTATGATCACCTGGGTAAAAGTTTAAGTACGATAGCTTAATAAAAAGTATGCTATTCTTGTTGAAAAGTCTTTATATCATCCAGTCATGGATGTGTATACGTCTGGAACACAAACTAATTATTTACTCAAGTCTTATAGTAGTAATGAGTTACTACCTAATGTTGTAGTCCCTTCCTTAATGGCAAAATATCCATGATGAATAACCACAAACTTTTTACTTACCCTGCATAAAATGATCCCAAACAGTTGCCTCTCATCTTGTACCTCTTTTTTCACATGCTGACATGAAAAAAAACAGTAAAAAAAAGCTTTATTAACTTGCAATTTGATTGGCAGCATCCAGTTACTATAGCTTCAGAGTGGACAACTACTGAATAAGGATAAATCAAACATTTCGTTCCTTAGAGTAAGTTTACTTCCTAAGTGGGCAAGTAACCTTTCTGGCTCCCTTCCAACTAAGTAAATCCTCCTATGAGCCACAATTTCTTGAAATCTCATTCAAACTACACAGGACCACTGCTAAACTTTCATATCTACACAGCCCAATATCAATATTTCATTCTGAAATTTCTATATTTATTGTATGACATAACTTGAGGCTTAGAGAATAAATATGGAGTCCAAGAGGTTAATTAGCCAAGCCTGTTTATATGATATCTTTAGCTTAGTTGGAATTTTCAAATTTCAAAATTTGGAAAATTGTGACCACAGAGAACTTTTTGGTAAAGATTGAACTTCACCCTTACTGAATAAAAGTTAAGATGGTTGGTTATGGAAACATACTCTTAAGTTTAAGCCTTTTACTCCCAAGATCTGACTGTTAATTCTCCCCTCGTCCTGTACACATTTGCTTTTAGATTGGTGACAAGAATTTGGTGTTAGATCTAGATAAAAACTTCTACCAGATAAGTTTGAGTATTCTCTTTACCATTTTGCAGGATAATGTATGGATATAATAAGGAGAAGTTACATATTAATCACTTCTGGGAGTTAAAGGGTTAACTATCAAATTCTGAATGAAGTCATCACTATTAACAGTCACACACCTGAACAGCTCTGATCTCTTCTTTAACAGTAAACACAAGTTGCTGTTTCCCTTTGTACTGAACAGGCTTCCAAGCAGGTTGCTAACAGTTACAACAAAAAGGAATTTCACAATTTCATTCTACTTTACTGCCACCCTCTTAATACAAACACCTTGTTGTGTTATTGTACATATGCATTCAGTGAAAATTGTGTGACAAAACCATTAAGAATTTAGGCATTTCATTACCATTATCTAAATAAGTACAATGTTAACTTCAAAACTACAAACCTTGCTTTTAAGAGGTACAGTCACATCTTTTAAGTTGACAAGTGACTGAATTGTAGCCACATTTGTGTCAACTGGAGTACCAAAAGGAGCAGCTACACAAAGGAACTTGCACAGCTCATTCATCTTAGATTGTAGCTGAAAAAAATTAAATTATCTCTACATAAACAAATCACTTGGGGCTCACAACACAGAAACCAAATGTTTAAAAATTTGTCAGCATTAATATTTTAATGATGCAAATGACCTTTTGCTTCTTCAGCTACACTGCAGTTTTTCAGTACTCTGCTTAAATAACCACCTTCAAATAATCTATGTCAACCCTGAAATGTTCCAGAACCCTTCATGGCTGAAGGAAATCCAGTCAGCTGTTAAAAAGTGTGGTCACTGAGTTGAAAAGGACTATGATGAAATCAATCCATCTGGCAGTCTGAGTAAGATCCAAGACCTTGAAATATGGATTCTAAGTTTGATACTCTCACCACTCCACCACGCTGCCTCCTTGCAATCAAAGTGACTGATAGATTGCTAACATCTTACAGTAATCAAATATAACATATTATCCCAAAAACATGTAAAGAGAAAAGACAAATTTATCACTTAAACAGCATTACCCTGATGTAAAACAAAACTGTTCTCATTGATTTGCAGTGCATCACCTTTTTGAGAAAAGTCTAAAGGAATTATGAACAATCAGATCTTCTGATTCAAAAGCAGTATCACTTTATAACAAAAGCAGAGTTTCAGTACCTCCTCTTTGGTGGTCCAAGTTCCAACAAAGTCAACCATGGAGTGAAGTAAGGAGTATCCTAGTGACACACCAGGCCTGAAAATGAAAATAAATATTAAATAGATATCAATACTAGTTAAGCTTGTAACCATAATTATTATAATGTGCACGGAAAAATTACAAGCTTCTGTTTGGCTGAAAGCAAGTGCTTTCGCGTGTAACACGAGTGCAAAGTTGCGAAACAAATGCAAATTACACTGAAAAGGGCTCGCACACTTTCAAAATTTTGTCTGTCTTGACTTTCTGTGATGTTTTTTCATGTACATTGTTAACAAGTTATAACATGATTTCTCTTGCAATATGGTTTAATAAGCATATGTAAATTTTTCAAAGACTACAAATTGCACTTGCTCCATGGGTTCATGTAGTTTTGTTGTCTTTGAAAAATTTTCCTTGTGCCCATTAGCACCAAATTGCACTTGAAATCACATTATTACCAGTACTAATTGCAATAATGGCAATTACAAGAAAAATACAAATAATCATAAACAAAAACAATCAGCAAGGATTGTTAACAATTCCTGAACAAAGTGGAGGTAAATATCCACCACTTTGACCAACACTGAACTGAGGTGAATAATTGTTTTGGTGTGTACTACACAGAAACAAAAAAACAATCTTACTTTCTTTCTGTTAATATACAACAAAAAAGAGTCAGAAATCAAATCGGAGATGTTTGCGTGATCTTGCCTTTTTGGCTGCTCACCTTTGAACCAGCCAATCAACACTGAGCACTAAGCTACGCACTATTTGCCTGTGTGGTATATGCTTAATACTGATTTTAGGAAAAATAGTCAGGTGTTGTCTCTGACATCAATAATTTACCTTCAGTTTATTAATACTAATGAGGGTAAATTTTGTCAAAAATAATTTTTACTGGCCTGAGAGGGGTGTGGAGGAAAACTTGTAGCAAAAGTTAAGTGGAAGAAAGGAGAATTCATCAGTGGCATTGATAATATTTTGATTCCAGCCAATTAGTAATGTACCACCATCAATATATATAAGAAGTGCAAGAACCTCTGTTTAAATTATAATACTATGTCCAACAAGGTAAGGAACTGCACATAACTGTCATTTATTCTCGTGATTTAACTTAAAGATAGTAAGTGAGTAAGTAAAGACTTTATTTAAAGAGGGTAGCACTAAAATAGTATAAAAATACTAACAAACCAGTGGCCCTCTAAAATTATGTACAATACAGATGTTAAAAACTATGGCATAACTATGAGATAATATAACAAATAAAAATACAAGAGATAAGAGATAAAATCAATTAAAAGTACAAAAGTATAACTAAATCACAGAATAAAATGATTTAAAAGCTGCTGTTCTTCAAAAAATTTTTTCCAAAGAGAGTTCCTAAAAGAATTAAGCGATGCTATTTTCTGCATAGATTTTCTAGATAGAATTTCTCCTTACAATATCAATACAATATCAATCAGATAAGTGATGAGAATAACAAAAAATATCAATTTGGGGATAATTAGTTGATGCAATACTAAATTCTCTGAAGTAACATTCAAAGAATTGTATGGTTGACTGTAAGGAGAAGTACAAATTTGATCTGGGAGTTAAGGGGTTAAGTAGACAGAATTGACTTACAGTTTAACAAGGGGAGGTTTTCCATGTGAAAGATCAGTTTCTACCAAAGGCAGACACACGAATACCAAACCAAACTAAAATAAAAAAGAATGCAAAACAATACTCAGCATAAACTGTGGACATGAAGTTGGGAGAGCAAAAATCTTCATCAAACTATACTTAACTGTGCTTAATGATTTGCCAAATAGTTTTTGAAAAAACAAGGTTGATGATGTTGTTAATGCTGCCTTACCTTTTCAATTATAACAACTGGCCATAATAAACCACTCTTCAATCTGACTTCATGTGCAGGTTTTTGTTCAAGCTTGTTGCACAAATCCACATCTTTGTCAAACTGAGAAAATATGATATTGTAACGAATGTTATCAGAAAATCAAGGCATTGAGCCCCTCTCCAAAAAGCACGTGCCTTCCTTACCTCCCTCAAAATAAATAAAATCAGAGAGCAGTGAGATAATGTTGTAATTATGCTCTACATTAAATTAGTTAAAACATCTGGGCTCCCTGAGAGGCATTCAAAATTCAAAATACTTAACTTCATTTGAAAACTTTGTTTAATTAGTAGATATTTTTTCATTTTGCAATTAGGTTTTTCACCCAAAGAAATGCATGCACAATTTATAGTATCCTTTATATAGAGTTTTAGCAAAATCCCAGCTTTTGTTTTTGCACAGAACTACAGTGAGGCTGAAAACAGTACTTTGCTTTATCAGAGCTATCAATATAATAAAGGTGAACAATAACCTACTGATGCTGACTGTCACCAATTTTCACCTATGTTCTGCCTAAGTCTGACACTCCAGGTTGTGCCTGCCAAACAAATTTACCTTCATGCAAACTAATTGAGTTGTTGCTCTACATAAGCTATCAAATGAGGTGTAGTGTGATAATAACCAGAACTAAGAAGACACAACCTCATCAAGGGAAGTTCCCAGCTTTTTCCTACATCCCAGCTCTTTAAGCACAGCTTCACATAATTCTTTATCGCCAGGGATTGGTGTTAAACTAAGTGCTCCCTGATGTAGAACTGCTCGTCGTTCAACAGTTGGAAAACACCTTAAGATTATACAAAATGAAAAATTTCTGTTATGGTGATTCTAATAAACCTGCCCTTCTACCTCCTCAGAAAAAGATCCCACATTAGGGGTGAAATTTGAAAAAAGTGCCTATACCCAATTCCAGATCAACGGCCCCACCCTGAAGTGACAATTAAATGGGGAGATAGCCGCTTAATCCTAAAAATTCTAATATCAGCATGTACATTCTCCATACTGGTTGCCACAAATTACATATGGTAATGACTGGGGTAATTTGTTCAACAATCAATACTTCTCAAGTTTGGGATCATTTCCTCTCTTCTCATGCCAGTATACACTTAATGTATGGTCCCAAGGGAAACAGTTAGTTTTGTTTTCCTGAGAGTCCTTAAGTATATAACAATAATGTTTCTTTCAGGAGCGACATTGTAAGGAAATACGAGACACTGGTCTAGTTACTCTTGGAGGTTGTGAATGTATTTAAATGTTCTTTAGCACTGCTCACGGGACTACTTTGGATTGTATGGAACTGAAAATTTCTCTTCAACAGACACATTTTTTATCACCCTAGGTCATATTTCACTCGGTCTGCATAGTCCACAGTCCGTTCACGCTTCCTTCCGATTCCTCAGTTCAAAGTTCTCGTTTAATGCCTCTGTGTACCCTTTGACCCACGCCCACCAGAAAATTAATTCATTTTTTTAGCAACCAAAGTTTGAAAAGCAAGAGCAAGGTTTACAAAAAACGAATAGCATAACTCATTACATACGTATCTCGGACGGTCACAAACGGTGAGAATGTATCGTGAAACATTCTCTGAGGGTAGCACGTGAAACATTCCACTTACCGAGAAAACAGGACACCGTCGGACTCAAAAAGGGCTGAAAAAACCCAAATACCACGTAAGCTCATTGAGCTAATCTCTATTCAACTCCAGCCATGCTTAATTTTCTTAGCCGACAGATAGACAGCAAAGTCCGTCCGCCATTTTGTTCAAAATAGAAACCTTATACCCAGTCCTTTGTCAAGCAAGGTCAGTGAAGGTGGCTTTCGAACATAGTTCACTTCCTGTTTAGTCGAAAGAGGACTCGGTTAAACGTTTTGATCCGCCGAAATTATTGAAAAAAAAGTAGGCTGGAATCAAATGCAAATCTGACTTGTCATAGGCTCCATACAAGCATTTGATGAGTCAAATATAGAGCCAAAACAGGATACATCCCTCACACACGTGAATGTCTGTGACTTGTGCGTGACGAAATTATTACCACGTGAATTCTAACTGACCAATCACAGGTTATGTTTTCTTCAGGAACCTTTGATCTACCTCAGGTGGCTTAAAAAAATGTTGAGTTCTCGCGCAGTGGTGTTTCTGAGTAGTTCACTCACGGCAATGGATGCATCAACAACTGTGAAGAATGGCTACTGTAGCAGTAAAATGAACGGTAACCCAACCAAAATGGTGGCAAACGGTTCTGCCGCACAGAACGTCTCGCCCAAGTTAGGAGCTCGAAGAGAGGAGGGCTCTAGAATCCTGTCCTTGCTGAAATTCCTATGGTTCGTCATAGTTTGTTTGTTGTCCTACGTGCTTCTCTTCACGTCCGTTCTGCCCTTGGTTCCACTAATTGTGGTATACTACAGTCTAAAGGTGATCGAACGATATCTCGTCTACTGGACATCTGGCAACCTTCACCTGAGCGGCCTGGATGCGCTTTGGCAACAGAAAAGTGACGTGAATCGTCTAGCGATTACCGGATTTTACTGCGCGGAGAACAAAACGGACTTCGAGAAAGCTCTTCGAGATTTCCGACAAGCTGTTTTAGATCGCATGGTGAACGCTAAGAAGTCGGACGGAACCTTACTTTATCCGAGGGCCCGTTGTTGCATTCGCCCAGGCTACTTTCAGTACTTTTTTCAGGAAGACAGATCTTTTCGCATTGAAAACCATGTGTTTAAGTGGGATGGTGAAGTGCCCTCTTCCAGAGAGGAGTTAGAAGGGATCGTTTCTAAGCTGAGTAATGAACCCTTTAAAGAAGGAGTTTCCCCTTGGTATTTCTGCTGTGTTCCTACAAATTATGGTGACAAGGATTTCACGGCAATCTTCAGGATGTGTCACAGTGTTGCAGATGGTGTGTCCTTGACAAGGTTCCTTATGAATCAGCTACCGGATCAATCAAAAAATGAGAAGGAGACTAAGAAGTTTACGTCATCAACTTCTCAAGTACCTCTCATGGCCAAAGCAATATTAAGAATGGCATATTCAATGCTTAGGCTAGTTTTTGGCTTTCCTGACCAATCCATTCTACATGGGCCAAAGCTGAGTGGCATCAAAAAAGTTACCTGGAATGAAGAATTTGATTTCAAATTGATCAAGCAAATCAAAGCAGCCACAGGCACAACTGTCAATGATGTCTTGATGTCTTGCCTCTCACGTGCAATCAGAAGGTGCTTCCAGAGAAAGGGTGTGGAAAACCCTCCAGACTTCAAGGCATCAATTCCAGTAGATGTCCGTCTTTCAGCCCCCAAGAAAGAACCCAGCTTCGAAAACATGTTTTCTCTGGTCTTCCTTAGGCTTGCAGTTGGGACTGAAGGTGTTCTGAATCAATTACAAGAGACCAAAGCACGTATGGATGAATGCAAATACTCTGGTGAACCATTAGCCACAGCCTGTGTGATGATGCTGTCTAATGAATTTTTCCCTGAATTTATGGTTAAGAGAATAAACACTGTAATCACTGAGAAGTCAAGTTGTGTTTTATCAAATGTACCTGGTCCCCAGCATGCCCTCTCAGTGGCTGGTCGACCTATCAAGTACACAACATTCTGGCCTCCTCAGAGAGACAACATTGGAATTGGGCTGTCCATCTATACCTATGCTGGCCGAGTTATTATTGGAGTGCAAAGTGATGTCAGTGTGCTACCAGATCCACAGATCATTACAGAAGAGTTTGGAAATGCTCTAAAGGAGATGACCCAAAGTGTTCTTCATGATGACGTAGTCAACGGAAATGTGATTCGCTAGACTTGACCTGTTGATCAGCTTCAAGTATTCTCACAAGTGATAGGACTTGAGTAACTTTGTACCAACTTTTGTTGAAATTTGTTTGGAAGAGGACACTCATGCATGAAAGCAAGTAAGATTGTAATATTATTTAGTACTAACAAGGTCCTAAAACTATAATGAAAGAAAAACAACTTGAACTAAAACTTGACCTTGTCCAGGTGCTTGGAATGCTGACCATAATGTGGTAAAGAAGGCATACAACTAAATTGTTGATAGGTGCATCTTTGAAAATTCAAAGCAGTAATCAATTTTAAATGAATGAGCCATTTGCTTCATATTTGTGAAAAAATACTTAATATGCGTTAAAGGTTTCATCCCAGAGACAAAATTTTGTTTAGAAAAAAAGTTATTTTTCAACTTGATACAATTTTTTTGACAAAAAAAATCATACAAATTTATGTATTTGCAGAATGTGATATCCTATTGGTATGAACCCTAAGTTTAATATATCCATATTCCCCATACTTAACTCTGTATATTCCCTTTGGTGCTGAAAAAGAAAATTCATTTAACAGTCAAAGCCTGCGTTATCAATCATGTCTTTTTATTCTCATGCCTTAACCCTTTAACTCCCAGATCAAATTTGCAATTCTCCTTACAGTCAACCATACAATTCTTATAATGTTATTCAGAGAATTTATTATTGAATTGACTAACTATCCCCAAATTGACATTTTTCTTTATTCTCATCACTTATCTGGTTGATATTGTATTCTATTGTATGGAGAAATTCAGTTTTGGTCACTCACGGGAGCTAAGGGGTTAATAGATGATTCAGTAGAATAATTAAGTGTATGAAAAATTAGATGCTGGTCACTCTCAGAGCTTAGAGGGTCAATAATACTCTTATAGTCAATTTTGTTCTCTAATGCCATCCTAAGCATGCACACAAGTTTGTGTGTGTGAGATTTGCATGCAAATTTTAAATTTGGCCAAAGCCTGTAAGGGGAATAAGTGTTTGTAACTCAAGTGGTGGTTTTGTTGTAGAGCAAGTGTTGATCCATTTAATTTCCCTTTTTTAAGTAAGAACGAGGAGGAAATCACTAGAATTTTGTGCACTCTAACTAAGAATTGTTACTCCAAAAAGAGTGTTTAGGTTTCTCACAATGATTTTTGTTGAAAATTCACATCCAACCTTGCGAATCAAGTTAGAAACAAACTGTACTGAGAGATCTTTTTCATAGTAACCTTAAAAGTTAGTGAGTGGAATATTTATTGTAAGATTTGATAGAAACTATCCAATCAGATAGATAAATTATATAATTTAATATTTAAAAAATGACCTTATATCAATTTACAAGAGTTATTGAAGAAAAAAATTACAAGTTACCTTTACATTGATTTGATCTTGTACATGAAGGTACAGTTAGTTGTTAGAGCATAGTACATACATTTGTGAAATTAAGTATTGATTTGTATGGTCAAAATGAAGTTATTATCTAGGTCATGTTTAAGTTGATTGTTAACTCAAATGAAAATTAATTTTGTAAGAAACTTAGCAGATATCAGTAAGTATAATTATATAGTACTTTGCATCATATACCGTAATACTACAGATTATCATTAATGAAGACAAGGCAATGTAGACATTGTTTAAGAAAAGAGAGAAAGATACTGAAAAAATATCAAACATCATCAATATTATTGAGCCATGATCTCAATTTTTCAGCATTATTAGTATTTAAAAGATAGTATTTGTTTCAAGTAATAGATTTTTGTCAATTCTTTTGTGAAAAGCTTTGCTCAGGAGTTTATTTTATCAGATAGTACAGAGGCAGGAATGCTTAACTCCAATAAGTGATAAATTGTATTAAAAATGGGGAAGAGTTTAAAAAGTTTTTTTTCTTTTTTTTGGTTACATTTTGCCTCAGCTCTTGATGTGCTTTATTAGTGACTATAACTGGACTTTTTCTGCAAATGGAACTGTAGGGAAAACATGGACCTTGATGAATTCATAAATAGCATGCAAAGAATACTACTTCCAGTTTTTGCAAAATTCCCCAGCTTTTTCTTGAAAAGGACAGTCAAACTTGTTCTAAGTGGCACCATAGAAGGTGGTAACTCTGTATCAAGGGTCAGTCGTGTAAAGTCCAAATTTTTTTTTCCAGAGTTACTGTGATTTTCACCTCTATTAACAAGTTGTGGTTAGCCTAAGTCCCAGCAGCCTGTTTGTAATGTCTTCCATCTGCATTGAACAATCACTCTACCCTTTAACTCCCACAAGTGACCAAGACAGAATTTCTCCTTACAATATCAACACAATATCAAGCAGACAAGTGACAAGAATAAAGAAAAATATTAGCTCGGGGATTAGTAGTTGATCCAATATCAAATTCTCCAAACTAACATCATGACAACTATATGGCAGACAGTACAGAGAATTATTAATGAGATCTTGGGAGTTAAAGAGTTAAATTTAAGTTAAACTAATTTATAAAGAAATGTGTTGCAGCTGGAGGGGAAAATTAACAGTCAGATCATAGGAGGAAAATTCCCAGACCGCAAGGTTTTTTGTTGCCTGACAATCTCCTGACCTGTGGCACTACCCTGTTGCTGTCACTCATCTTGATAAAGCTGTTCATCACAGGAAACAAGGCTGTGATCAGTAGCTGACCATCACGAGGGTCAAGACAATTCAATCTGTTGTAATTAGTAGATTACTCATCCAAGACTTTTTTTTTTGTCTAGTCTAGATAATCCAATTGTCTGGTAATTCAAAATGTTTCCCAAGGGAGTCAGGGTTTCAAATTGATTTAAATTAGGTGTCAGACTTGGCAAAAGTAGGCATCAGACTTGGCAAAAGTAGGTGACTGTGAAACATTTATTAAGGGCCAACAAGTAATTATTTTGACCAGAGTAATTGGCAAAATGTTATCAAGTAGCCAATGGATATCAAGCAGTCACTAGCTTGTTTAGAAATCCCTGCAGGAGGAAAGTGGTCTATGACAATGGACAATTTTCAAATTGTGTTATACAGATAAAAATAACATGAGCCAAATCCAGACATGCAAATGTTTTTTTATTATATAATAAATAATCACATTAAATCTCACCTAGGGAGATGATAATATGCCAGCACATTTAAATCTCAAAACACTGTACAAAGTTCATCAATACTCTGTTCAAGAAGAATATTATTCACTTCACAATATTTGCAAAAAAATAATTAAAATAAAACCTTCCTGCAATGTCAAAATAATTTTCTTGTCCTTTCCATGCCTACATCCCTTTTCTCAGTCAAAGTATAAACCTTCAAGTACTATCCATTGTACATTTTAAAACCTTTTCAATGCCCTTAGGTTTGTGCTATTTACAAAAATGTGTTGTTCATCCACCTGATAGTCAGCACAAATCAAATGCAACTTTCAAATGCAGATCAATTATCTTGACCTCTTTGGCATGATTTTGCTCAGTATCCTAAACACTGACACTTGTATCCCTGTCCATAACAGATGGAAATTTCTCCTGTACCAGTCTCTGTTTAATACAAAAGGTAAAACATAATTTCTTGTTACTACCCTGGCTAAAGCAAGATGTGTAAGTCTTTTCACCAATATGAGCAAAAGAAAAATCCAAGTGACCCAATATGAATTCAATCCCCAGCCATTTCTGAATTTGCAATCATACAATATTAGCTTAGACAACTAAAATTGTTCATGAGACTTAAAAATAACCAGGGACTGCTTTTGTTTAATTGCTCTGCTTTCCATGATTGGTTGTGCCAACTTCTCTATCAATCATGTGTTGAACTAAAAACCAGACAAGACTCGCAAGTTGTCATCTGCCTTTACTTACACCCTGGGTAGTTAGAATGTTTTCCCTTTATGTTATTATGGGCTAAAATACATGTACATCTATCTTTTAAATTGTGCCCTGACTAGCCAATGTATCTACAGTTAACTCTCTCAAACCAAACACCCTCAAAAATTGGAAAAAATGTCTGTTAGTAGAGCTGTCTGCCAACAAGAATTATTGCCAAAGGTAGACAGTAAAGAAAAGTAGAGTGGATTACAGCTTACAGGAGAGTGTTATGTTGGACTCTTATTTATGTCAAATGAATAGACAGCTTGCTTTCACGCAGACAAATGGAGATTTCACAAAACTGATACTTGCTGTTGTGCTGCTCTATCAATGGTCATATTTTTGTTGATTTGCAAATTCCAGACAGCTTTTATTCCCAAGAGTCAATTATTATTCATGGGGTGTCCAATTATAAGACAGCGCATACCAAAGAAAAATCCAATTTCCAATTTCAAATGTGTCCTTGAATGCTTAACAAAAAGTGTCCACTTAAAGGTATGTAATATGTGCAAGTGCAAATACAAAGTTTGAGTGGGTGGCAAAAAGAAGAATAGAAAAAAGTGTTCATGAGTAGAACTGTCTGCTTACAAGAGCATCCATTTTCAGAGAGTTGACTGTATTAAAAATAAACAATTCTAACCAATCAGTTTTTGTGTTGTTACCTGAGATATTGAGAATGCACATTGTAGTTGCCATCCAAGAAATCCCGATAAAATTTTGACAACTCATCAGCTAACTCCTTATCTGATAAAAAAAATTTTTAGAAAAACAGTAACTCCATGAATCATCAAACACTTTGAAATGTCTTGCATGCAACACAACTCACCAAAGATAAATTCAAATTCTTCACATGATGAAAAGATGTCAAAGGGAAGGATCCTTAGCTCAGTTGTGAGGAACCTCCCCTCAAACTGCTGGAGCCTGGGTTTCACTCCCAAACCAAGTGTTACATGGAGGTTGAGTTTTGTTGCCGTTGTTCTTCTCGTCTTTGCTTAAGGGGTATTTCTCCTGGTTTTTCTCCAATTTGAGTACCTCAACATAAAGCCAGTACCTCTTATTCCTAGTTTTCTACAAATAAATTCTTAAACTCTTTCTCCATATAATTTTGGATGATTAAAATTAATTACCATATACATGTGCTGTTTCCAAAGGGGATTGAGTTTGCTTTCAATATAGGGCTGCAGTCTTCAAGGTTAAATAGTATCAGTCTGTGAAACCTGAAGAAGTAGGACCTACTGTGTTCTGTCTACATGTAACTGACTGTGATTTTACTTCTGACAACTTACTTGTGTCTGTTTCCAGATTTCTTGGTCGTAATTGGAGGAAGGCCTTTTTTGACTACAACATAAGAGTTCTCAATTAATATCTATAGGTCCCCAACCATACAGAAAAATGAAATGCTCCCCTAAAAATGCTACTATGAGTGATAAATATTGGGATAAGGAACTTGGACAACTGTTGGTAATAATCCTTTTTGCTAAGATACTCAGATGTTAAAAAATGTACTAAATAGCCTCAAAGCTCTCAATTCTGTCACACATTCTAAATAGAGTAATATGTACAAGAAATTTCATGTCTTTACCTTGATTCGTTTAACAAACAATTTTTAAAATATCCAATAATTTATTTTCTTCAGTGGGTGGATGAGTACAGAGATAATGAAAGGAAGTGTTTCTAGTCCACACCTAACAACTAACACATTCGAAGCCATTGCATCAGACATATTTTTTCCAAAGTGATGAGAAATGGTAAAGTGACTCTTCACATTGAATACTTAATTGAGTAAGGAGTCACATACATGTGTAACAAGGTATCAGGAAAGGTCTGTCCAACCAGTGTTTGAAACCTACAAATCTACCTGCATAAAGGAGTAAGTTTCTAAAAAAACTATGGTGCTGCATCAGTGGAGGAGTATAACAAGGTACTTTGGTATTATCAATTGAGTTGATAAAACATAGTGGCCCTTATAAAGAGTTTCAAAGTTTTCATTTTGAGCATTAGTTTACGCTTGAAATGTCAGCTTTGAAACTCTTTATGGTAGATAATTTACAATATCAAATCTACATGGAGTTTAGAGTTGTGCTGTATTTTTGTGCTATCAGTCTTTGGTCTAGAATGGTCTATGAGAATAGAATTTGGATCCCCTGTGTCAAACATGACTCATTTCCATATTTCCCTCTTTATCTATTTTTCAAGAAATAGAAAATAACATATCCAACCTTATTGAATTTTTCATTTTGTTTCCCCCAAAAATTCTGATTCCAAGTGTTTAATTCTTGCTGTTGTTCTCTGAAGTATCTCTCCTGAAAGAAAAAAAAACATATATTACATAGTTTTCTTGCTTTGGTTACCTTTATTCTGTGTGTTTTCACTAATGAAGACAGTCATGCAAAAAAAACAGGCACAAACTGCCAGGGAAAACAAACAATTTAAGATACATGATCACGTAAATATATATTTCCCTTTCAATCCTTGGATTTTCCTCCCTAGAGCCATCAGTAGGTAACATCTGCTTTACAATATCAATACACTGATGCAATCCTTGACCAATCAGAGAATGCACATCTCTATAATCCCCAGAGAAGTTATACTGGCAAGATGACATCTTAGGAGCAAAAAGGTTAATCATTCCAGTTGGCATGTTACATGTAGCTCAGTTGGTAAAGCACTGCATCAGTATCGCAGAGGTCATGGGTTTGAATCCTGTACAGGCCTGAATTTCTTTCAGGCCTAATTTTCATTACTGCTTGGGTAGTTCTTATTATTGCGCGGATCACTTTCATTTTAATTTCTTAAACCACAGTTCACATATATGATTTTCACATATAATTACAGTCGTCAATTAATATATCGTTTATTGGGCCAGTAAACCCACAAATGTTTCATAAAACCAACTGAACGTTTCATTTTTAAATATTCAACGTTTTCTCCCAATATTCCACGAATGTGCCGTCTTTTGCTTAAGTACGGGTAGGTTAAAATCATATTGCGCTTACTTTGGTTGATTCATTTTTCAATTTTGCGAAGATTATCTTTCGTATGTTTGAGCCGTGATGTCGAGGACCAACCAAGTTAAACTTGCCACGAGAAGAAGAGGCAGAGGCTCTTCTAGAAACCTGAAATAAAGTAATCAAATTTACTGTGCAAACTTTGTGATGTTTCTACAACCAAAATCTTACATAACGTAAGCTTCGAGGAAAAACGTGTACCTCGTCAGTGCTAATTTCCCTGCCACAGCTCTCCCATTTTTTTTGTACAAAAACTGAAGGAAGATAAAGAAAATTTCTCGCAAACGGAAGAAGTGATGAGTTGTTCCTACATAAGAGTTTCATTCAGCTTTGTTTATGACAAAGATTACTACTACAGCTGAGTAGGTTAGAAGATGGCGGCTATATTATGGCTAGGCTACAGAGCTTAGAGGGATAACCGCTGTCATCGATGCGGCTCGCATTCAAAATGGCGGATAAAGAAGGGCGACCGGAGCGGGAAGGTGAGCATTGTATTTCTTGTATAATTGAATGACATTCTTCCTATAAGCTTATGTGTTATTGTCTGTCAGCAGAAAAGAAGAAAGATTCATCGAGAAAATATCAAGAGGAAAGAGAGATTTCACGCAGTCGACGTACGTATCTGTCAAATGTTCTGTCAGTTAAGCTCCAGTGATTAATTAAAAAAAGATATATATTTACAAGCCTAACGTGAGCTTGCGTAGTTTTCATTTTCTTAGTTATAGGATAATTTCATCCCAACCATCTCTCAATATTCTACAGCGAAGAAAAAATCTAAAAGGAAGCATAAGAATCAGTCAAGAGAAAATTCTTCTTCATCGAGTTCTTCAAGTAGAAACAGGTCGCCGTCGCAAGGTACTGTATCTAGAAATACGAATCTGTGTGTAATGCGTTCTCCGTTAATCATATTATGAGATACAGGGTTTTCATCAAGAAATTTAGCACCAGGGGTCACTTCACAGCAACAGGTTAGGTTTTATCTGCGTCTTGAGCAAAAATAGTTTAGAGCATCAAAATTCAGCCGCAGAATTCTTAAATCCCAATGCCTGATAAACACCCTGTGAAAATAGAGAAACTAATTTTGGTGTTAATTAGAGTGTGTTATCATAATGTCACTCTGGTCACAAAATTTGACAATTGATTCACTTATAAATGCATAGCTAGCAGAACTGGCGCTTTCATACTGTGTGCACTAAACAATGAGCAGCAAAGCCAAAAGCCTTTGTCCTGAACCTCTACCAGCTTCACCACCCAGTGCTGAAAAATTGTGAAGTAGCAACCCTGAAAGAGAGAACACTTATATTTAGATGTTTGACAAAAAAGATACTTCCTTTGATGAAAACTTCTATTACAGAGACATGTGCATTAATGATACTGATGATATTTACAACACTTACAGAACATTACATGACTTAATTTTTTTTTGTCTTCTTTTTTCATTATTATATATGTATATATATATATATATATATATATATATATATATATATATATATATATATATACAATTATATATTTATAGAAAGTCTGTGTTTCCATAGTACAGTGCTCAATACTTAGAAGTAGTATGCAATATGTCTTGAGATAGGAAAAAACAGAGATTACACTTTCATCAGGATTTTGTCTCGGGAGTGATGTTGTAAATCATTTTGTTCAACAACAGTGCAGTTTTATGGGAATTGTTTTGTTAATGTTGCTTACTAATGTCTTCTTGTACACTGACCATGCTAGCAGAAAAACAGAAGAAAAGAAGGAAACATGCAAAAAGCAGTTCACCCAGCAAAACTGGCAGCAGCTCCTCTAGTGCCTCTGAATCAGATTCCTCAGGTAAGTATTGAAATGTTGGTATGCTGTATTTCCTCAAATAAGCAACAGGGCTTATATTTAAAATTTCGGCGAAAGGGACGAAGGGCACTTATTGGAAGGAGGGTGCTTAATCAAGGGTCAGGCTTATTTTGTTAGCATAGCAATAGGACAGAAATTTAAAGAGCAGGTAACTCTGCAAGTTCATGGAGATAGAAATAACTGTATTGGAAAAGAACATATTATCCTGTTCTGATTCCACTGTAGTTGTTGCGTAAAAAGGTATAAATGTAACTTGGCAATAGAAACAGGGTTTCCTTGTATCTCTACTATTTACGGAAGCGAGGGAACAGGTGGGTGGGGTATTGCTGAGGGGCACTTGTTTGACATCATGGCCAAGGGGGTGGGCAATTATTGGGTAGGGTGCTTATTAGAGAGTGAGTGTTTATTCAAGGAATAGTACTTACAGAAACTGAAAATAAAAATTAAACTTGTAGGTGTGATACTGTGGGAAAACAAAAAAAGAAAAGGAGCGCATTCTAACAACATTGCTCACTTACAGCTTATTGCAGTCTATCCTAAACAGATGTTGGAGAAAAGGGACCAGCTAACAGTATTTTATTTGGGGGATAAATTTGTTTGTACTCACTGAGTTATTGTCCACTCAGGCTTTCATCCTAATAGCAGAGCCTTGCTCTACCAAACTTGTACAAAGAAATTATTTGCTGTTAGCTATTTCTACTGTTTATTTGCCTGTACAGTAAAACCCTGCTAACTCAAACTCCCAAGAGAAACAAAATATGGTTCAAGAAAGTGGGGGTGTGAGTTAGCTGATAGTAGATGACAGAAAAACTGGGATCAAGGCAAATCAGATCTTGGTTGAGTTACAGGGGGGATTAGAGTTAATTAAGTTTGAGTTAGTGGGGTTCTACTGTTTACTCCATGTGTTTTCCTGGAAGTCTATAACGTCTGAGAGAATTAATTTGAGCTGTCATTTCTTGACTTTTCAGAGGAAAGGACAAAAAGGAAGAAGAGAAAGGTAACATGGCATGGATCTTAAATATTAATTTAATATTAATAATTAGATATCTTATTTAGGGTATTGATCAGGCATTGACAAAAATGCCTCTGCCAATACTCAGAATTCTCCACTTAGATTCAGAAGGCTGAAGCAATGTTTTATTAAGAAATGGAGAAAATTGTCTATTTCCTTTTTCTGTTTTCCTACGTCTACATCTCTTGATGAAAACCCTGCTCATGGCAAAGTTGTTTATGACAATGCACATCTTCAATAGTTGCAATTTGAGAGTGAGTTTGCTGGCCATTTTAATGTGACAGAGAGCCAACTTTTCTGTCGTAAATGCAAAGGTTTTTCTCTATCTCCATCAGGAGAAGAAAAGAAAGAGGAAGAGCAAGAAGAGGGAAACAGATGAAGCTTCTGGCCCCGTTCAACTTTCAAAGGTTTGTAGCGCTGAGAAACCCTTTAATTGTTTAATTTGGTTTTTGAAACTAAGTTGATGATGAAAGTAGGCAATGTTAGCGTTAGCCCTCGTCAGAGCGAAAGACGAAGGGCAAACGCTCCAAACTTCAGCTTTTGAAACTCTTTACTTTGGCAAATTTACATTATCAACCAAATTATCTCGTAATACCTCACCTCCCCCCACCTCCCCCCACCTCCCCCCACGCAGCACTGCAGTTTCTTTAAAAACTTGGCCCCCTTCCACAGTTTGTAACTGGCCTCTGGTTGGTCATAAATCGGGCTTTCTGCCTTTGACGCGTCTGGTCCTGGTGATCTCGAGCAAGACTTTGAAGAACAAGAGTTTGAAGTCGGGATCAAACAGAGAGGGCACGTCCTATCCGTAAACGGGCTTCTTCAGTGGTTGAAAGAAGGCTTGTGAGACACCTCGCAAGCTTACTTTGCTGTATTTACGGTGCGCACTACGAGTACTTACGTCGAACTCAGTTGCATGAATCATTTTATGAAATCTTTTTTCAGTTCATGAAAGAACGAAAACGGAAAGAAGAGGCACTGAGAAGCGCCGTGACAGGCAAGAAGATCAAACTCAAAGTTAAAAAATCGAGCAAGGACAAGGAGGTAAACAAAGACTGAGTGCAAAAGTGAGAAATTCTGTTATTAATCAGTATCTCCATAATGATATGTAATGTGAAGCTTAAAAAATTTTTTTTGGGAGGGGGAGTGTAATTTTGTCAGTTGGTGTTTCATTTTTTTCTGTTCGAGTTTGTAAAGCTTTACCAATAGATTATTAAATTCGCCGTTTCCGAGCGTCGGGTTCAAGTTCGAGCGAATCATCGCGGCTAAAAATGTAAGGAAACAATTTTTTCCAGGGCTTGTTTTTCGCAGAAATTTATCACACTGACGTGTCACCTACAGTGATTCGCTTTTAATTTCATGTTCCAGCCCCTCTGTCCTTTGTTACATTAGGCCTAGTTCAAACGTCGATCTTTACATGTACCGAACCTAATTGCAATTTGGGTCGACTCGAATAATTAAGAGCGGCAGTTGATTCAAACGTCGATCCGAATTTAGTCGATCCTAATTGCAAAACTGAACATAACTCCATTGTAGTCAGCGGTTAATGCCTACCAAAATGGCGGAAAAAAATGCGGGAAGCACAACTTGTGGAAATGAAGAGCTTGTTTTTCTTGCAAATGCGATTAAGGAGGGTAGAAAAAGGCGACTCAAGATGCAGTTAGCATTAAACAACCTTGCTGCCAGGAGAAGACGAGTTTTGGAAGCTTTAGGTTTAGGTTTAGCTTTATAAAAAATTTAAAAAATTTTCCTTCTACGGACTCGAACTCGTTACAAAAAATACTTTTAATGGCTTATATTATAGACAATACAAGCTATTCATTTAATATTATGAAGCCATACAAAAGAGGAGCACGAGCCTTCCTCCTTCCCCGCCATATTGTTTGAATGGTTCGAAGGCTTTCGCGCATGGCACGTAAGCGAACTTTCTTGAATTGTGGGTAAAACATAATTATTTTAACGTATGTATTATGTATGCATTAAGTTCGGTACATGTAAAGAACGACGTATGAATCAATGCCGATCTTTTACCGTTCTATCCGACTAGCCGAGTCGGATAGAACGGCACTGTCGATCCGAATACAAATCTGCCGATCCTAGGTCTTGAACTAGGCCTTACTTTGCGGTTGAAGTTACTTTCCATGTTTTTTTCCAGCGCGACAAGAACCGAAAACAGCTACTACACTTCTTGAATCAGACCTTGTAGGATTTTCAGAGAAGCTTATCGGGTCTGTTAACTAAATACCAACACGACTGGTTGGTAGACAAGAGGGTGAAGAATGGCGAATGGTTTCCTGGAATCGGGAAAAGGCAGTATCAGGGTCCATCAAGTTATAAAGTATGTGCACGTGGAGGGAAAAGAAGTCGAGTAATTTTTTTCATTCTTCGTACCACATGTTGTTATATCCTGAACCTGGCAAACCGGGAAAGGAAAACTCACCAAGAGTTGGCGTATGAAAGAAATGTGGACTCTTAAAGAAAAAATCGGACGATTCAAGCACTTCATGGCAAATAGCTGTGATCCGATCAATGTGAAGATTCTGATATGAATTTTATTTGTTTCTCCTGTAAATCTCGCTTTTCATAAGATGTATGTATACATTTATAGAAACGTAAAACGTTCTTTTAATGAATAAACTTGTTTATAACTTGAAAGAGTCGGCATTTTTTGTAGAAACCCTTTGAATTCAAATCGGTTTTCCTTGCAGGTAGTAGGAGCCAAACCATTCTCAGTGCCTTGTTCTTGTGACATAAATTTAGTTTTTGTTTGCTCTGTAAAACCAGATGTTAAAATTACATTCCCAATATAAGGGTTTTTTTTTATCTCTAGAAAAACGGCATTTCAATTCTCCGCGCTGGAAAGAAAGGGGAATTGGATTACTTCATATCTTCTATTTAGCTTTTTCCTTCTCCTTTACATACTTCCTGATTTCACCGGATTTGTACCAGGGTACCATGTCTTTTTAAAAAAAAAATTTCTCGTCTTCACTCTAAAGAGGTGCATCACAAGGTTCTCAGCGCTTTTCTAAAATATTAAACCGACGGAACCGACGGAGTGGCTTCCAAGCCTTCTCGGTCTCTCTTCCGCTTCTCCTTTTGCTCGTGTCTTCTCTTGATTCTCGCGCTCGCCATGCTTTCAGCTCACGCTTGCGTCTTCTTGCCTCGCCGAAAAAAAACGCAAAAAACTAAAAAAAAAACACAAAAATGAAGCTTGATTTCCTCATTACATGATGTCATTTTAAAACAGAATATGGTTTGGTGTAGAAGCTCTCAGTGGAAAATGGAAGCGTGTTCTATGTTTTTCAGTACCATACGAAAAAGGTAAACGAAAAACATGAAAGAAAAAACGAATTTTGAAAACTAAGGTGACAACTCCGTTTTCACAATAGAGAAGAAAAACGAAAAACAGGAACATAATTTGAATTTCATTATGCCTCGTCTTTGAAAAATAGTTGGCACTAAAAGCTACTGTATGAAGGTTCAGGTCAACTGTGGCGGCCGGGGATGGGCGGCTGAATGGACTGATCGAGCATCATGTTAACTGATATCCCACCTGACCTCCCCGGCTTTTAGTGATACTTTCCCTAGCCACCCCTCCCCTACCCTTTTCCCCCTGCCGATAATCATGAACAGCATCAACGCTCTTCTCTGTACTCACAAACCTACAACTATGGCCTTATTCCATTTTCATTAAGTTTTTATTCAATCTTTTCTTATCACAACAAAAGCGTAAGAATGTTTTACGCTATCTGGGGATGTACGTAAGATGTCACCTTCAATTAGACAATTTTAAGACATAGTATGTTCCTCGTTCTCGCTCAATTCACCCTCTATATCCTGATATTTTGATCAAAATGTATTTATTAGCATATAGCCGATCTAACTGAACTTATGTTTCCACCGATTCTTTCCATTTTTGCAACGATTTTCTGCACAGAATTTGAAATCAATGAAATTAGATTGCGTGACTGGACGATATTTAATTGTTATCCGCCACAAACACGCACACTCTGACAGCCTAAATCAAGTAATTACTTGCCTTGTCTTCTAAGTATGATCAGAATGATAAACAATGAGGTTTGATCGCCTTCGATTCGCTCGAATCGTTCTGCGGAGATAAATGAAATTGCTATCTGTTCGGTTTTGCGTGGTGTGTTGGCCAACAGAACAAACTCCTGCGATCGAGGCACTCATCCGCGATTTTGCGGTCGAATAACGCGATGAAGGTTCTTTGCGTTGAGTAAACAATTGCCTTTCAAATACCAGTTCAATATTTACAAGACGAAGAAGTGAACACTTAGTTTGTTTCCCGACGGGAGCCGCAGATTGACGATGTTACAAAGGATGGTCATAAAATTAATTTAACCCCTTCGTGTTTGGTCATTGTGAATTTGGCATATCTGTTGGCTTCCAGCAGAGCTGTTGGAGTTGAGTAAAAATTCATCTCAGATGATGTGAAGGAATGCGTCTTCGTATGATTCTACAGAGCAAATACGGAGAAAAGCGCAAAATCAGAGCTGCATCTTTCGTCCAGTTTCTGAAACTCAACGGAAACGTAAACATTGCATGCATTCTGTTTATTACGAGCTAGTTGTGGTCCACTTCACTACAGCTTTTCACGAAGACTGTGAGCCCTTTCGAGCTCTCGTCGTTATATTTTCTTTCCAAGCTGTTCACTAAACTAGACTTCCGCTCTGAGAGTATTGATCATTTAAATAACAAAAAATTGCCTTTAAAATTGGAGCTGATGCGTCGGCGGAGCTTATAAGCTGAGTGGATGTCTATTGCGCGATAGACATGAGGCTCACATGTTTTAAATGGTTTACCACTTTTACTTATGCGCTTCAGCTGGTCACAGCAAGACCTAGAACCTCACGAGAGGCCGGTAAGTAACATTTCCTTTTAATATTATCTCGCGGAATTAGGAGGTTTCTTGCTTTATTTTTTCAAGGATATGCGTAAATGGACGTCTCAAAATTCTACATCCGCTGTAACTTGTCGAATCCCTAAAAAAGATTCAGGGTATTTCACCTCCGTCAAATAATTAGGAATTTACTTGTTATTTTTACGGATTAGCCGAACTGTCTTAGAGGGAGCAAACTGGGAAAAGAAGCTTATAAGATAAGCGTTTATTCGTAATGACCTCGGCGGCGGGTTTGCACAATACACAAGCTTTGAACTTTTTCTAACACCGACGGCCCCGGTTTGTTCATTAAAATTAGATTATTCAACTTTCGCAGCAACTTTTGTCTGCGTAGGTTAGACATATCTATTTAATTCCATCGAAACTCCACAAATATATTATTTACCCTGAATTATGCGGGATAATCAAACACGAACAGCCGCGCAGATAATTCGTAGGAGATTAGATCACATTGCCGCGATTTCTGTTAGTGAAGTTAAGACAGAGATATCTAAACCACGATTTCCCGGTAAACTAATTTTAGAGTTAAAAAGAACTCGGGCTGTTTTTAAGTGCGTAGATTTTGTCGGTTTTTTATTTTGTTCTCCTTCGTTTTCCGACAGATAAAGGGATTTATTCTTCAATGCCTAGATTAACTAACTTATTCGGATTGGAAAAACAGCTAATTCGAAAACAGATTGAAGTAATTTACCGCCATAATCCGAGATTGTTCTTTCCTAGATGTTTTGTAAATATTTCACTCGCTTTTTTAGGACTTAAAAAACAATACTTTGAAAATTTTAATATTGAATTAGGCAGTCAGCAGGATAAATCGTTTTATTTTTTCCCTGTCCAAAGTGACATTTTTAATCTGTTTGAACAAGGTATATAATGCGCTTCACGACGCGTTGATGTTTTTTGCAAACAAGTTTGTAAACATGTTTTGCGCTAAGGCATAACCGGTTTTCCCTTTTTCTTTGTTTTTAAAAAGAATTTTGAATCACTACGTAAGTTTGAATCGCCCATATGGAAATATATTCCTCTAAGACACAATATCATAAATACTTGCGCAAAATTTGCAAACAATATAACTCTGTTTCCGCAAAATATAGGTCCTTGCATGTCGCTTGTAATGTATGGTTTAAATTTGCAGGTGCATGAGGCCGATTTTCCGTATTTTTATATTTACATTTAGTATATATCGTTTTAGCTAATAGTTTCTTTAATGAACAATATACCGGGATAACTTTTATTGTTTCCGATTGTAAATTGGCTGCGAATATTTTCGGGGCGGAGAGAATTAGGGGCAATTCGGCAAACAGGAATTGGAATCTTGTTTCCCTCGGGGTACGAACAATACATTGCTATGTTCCCCCTCTCACCCCATTGGCAAATCTCCTGATCGCCTGCTGTTCCTCGCTACTATTTATAAACGTTATGTCACGCAATTCGGCTGGTTAAAACTATCGTCGAATCAAGAAACACATTAGTGAACAAAAGATATAACAGAAAAGTAACATACGAAAAACAACAGAATTAAAAAACAAAAATAATTATTTGCAACAGTGACAAACACATAACGAAAGAAAAGGGCATGTTCAACAGCGAAGAAGATGAAAAAAAAATCGCCTTAATTAGTTACAGTGTACAAACAAATCATGACAAAAGCTTTCATTGCGGTTTGATGCTTTGTTAATATTCTACATCGCAGCTAGCAGCTCAGTGATAAGAGTTACATCATTGTACAAAAACTTGAAAAATTTATAGAAAAAGCTATTGTGTTTCGATTTAAGAAAATCGTGACTATAAAAAAATTTTAAAATTTGTGGGATCCGATTAAAATCAAATTAAGAAAAAATCTGATGGCTATCTGGAAGAGTTTGCCTAGAGGAATCTTACTTTTTAAAAGTCGTAATTTATGCGTATCTCCATTCGACTCCACGTCAAAAAAAATACTTTGATTCCAAACTTCTGAAAATAAGATACAACAATATAATTTTACATTTTCTGGGTAAAATACTGCGTAGAATGGCCTCTAACAAGGATTTCTTCATAGTAAGTTTTTAGAAAGTTCCCGCCATGTTGGTTTGTCTGGCGGTTGGGGAGGGGAAGCTCGTTTGCCTGACAACGGCAGGTTGGCTGGTTTGTCAGTCGCTCAGTCGGCCGGTCAGTCAGTCGGTCGGTCATCCGGGCATTCGGTCGGTCAGTCGGTTAGTCGGTGGGTCAGTCGATCGGTGTGTCGGTCGGACGGGTTGTTGGTCATTTTGTTGGTCACTCAGTTAGTCGGTCGATCGGTGAGTTAGTCAGTCGGGTTGTCGGTCATTCGGTTGGTCCGGTAGACTTATATCCGTTGGTTAGTGGTTGGTGAGTCAGCTGGTCTATTGTTTACATTGTTGGTGACTCAGTAAACTCTCTAAATTCTAGGATCGTCACCAACTGCTTGTCAGAGCATAGAGCTACTTATCGACGATGAAGGAACCATAACAAGTCCCAATTTTCGGGGACCATATCCAGCCAACTCTTCCTGCACATGGATTATAAAGCCCCCGGAAAAAACGAATGTTTCTTTACGGTTTTCATCGTTTAACATCCAATCAAGTTCCAAGCAGTGTGGAGGGATTAAATGCAATTGTGACTTTGTCCAAATAAGTGAACTTGGCTCTGCGTCTAGTAATGCAGGATTCAACACGAAATATTGTGACGGTAATCGCCCTCCGGACAAGATTCTTTATTTGATGTCTGGGGTCAGAATTCGATTCGTTTCTGACTCAACTGGCGAAGAGACTGGGTTCGAACTTCATTATAAAACCCTTCATACACCAGCACCTGCTCCAACGATGGGTGTATCTGGAGCATCTGTTAATCAAACCGTTGTCACGACAACATCTGGCTCGTCTTCAAATCTAAACGTGTCGAGTTTCAGTATTCCTTTACCCACATTTACAAGCAAAGCGCCGATAAACTCTTCATCGGAAATTGTTTTGCAAGTTACACCAGAAACACGAATACCGACAGAACTCACTGGTGTTCAGACTCCGTTACCCAGAAGAACATTGCCAGTCAGTTCAGCTGGAGCGGGGAGTGCTTGGACAACACCGGTTCATACCGTTTTGGCTAAGGAACAGAAGGTAGTCGAAGAGAAAGTCCCAGACATTATAGTCCTTGGACCGTCTGTACCTGTTGTGATGATATTTGTCATTGTTGTCGCTGGTATTGCTTGGTGGAATTACAAGTTTAACTCGGAAGAGCACAACAGGTCAGTTGTGCTTGATCACTAGTAGGGTCAACATGTCGGTCGAGATAACTATAAGTTCGCGTTCACTTCTGAATATTTATCAGGGAAACAAAATGAAATACTGAGGGGTAATCCACAATGAACTTGTATTCTGCGGTCCGGGGGAAAACCTTTGATACTTGCTAATTCATGCCATGAAATCTGAGGAAAGCTTTGGTAATATAGTACTTCGGTCCGGAGGGAGGGCATTCGTTTGGAATTTTGGAGCTATTGTACTGAGTAACTGATGACAAGAATCTTTTCCGTACTTTCAGCCAGTCTAATGTCGTTCAAAAGAACACAGTAAAAAGGTTTATACTTTGATTGTAATTAACTGAAATTGAATTAACATTTTTCCAGAAGAAGTTGTGCGACAGGGTTTCAACAACAAAAGGACTTAACTTTTCAACGAAATTTCTTTCATTTCTAGATTTTTCGAACACTGATAAACGAACTTTAATAAGTTTTCTATGCCATCCTTAATTTTCAGCGTGATCACATGTTTGTGTCATTTTTTTAAGGTATGAATCCTACGCAAAGAAAAGTGCAGCCAAAAAGCGGCAGAAGAGAACGATGCACAACATTAGGTAACACTGACGTTACTATTTTTAAATACTGAGTGGGACTCAACTAGCGAAGGCTCCTTCATAAAAAACTTTTCATTTGAGAGTGGTAATCATACGATGAGAACTCCAAGTTAATAAAAAGCATGTGAACAACCTCATGCGTGGAGAAACGCGAGTGGTCAATTCTCACTCGGTTTCGGTTTATCAGGTTACTGACCAGAAGAGTGGAAAGTGTTTTTGCTCTGAACAAAGTTCTCTTTTCTGTTGCAGTAAAGGGAATCTCTATAATGAGATGACAAAGACCTGGAAAGGCCAGTCTTCTAACCCTAATGCAGGAAGGTAAGTCACAAACACACTTGGAGTTGAATTACGAGGCTATCGAAAAACACCTCACTTCTGATCACATTTTTTTCTAAAATGTTTCAAATACAGCGGAGAACTGATTAAGACTTAACTAATCGAACACTAATAACAGTTTAGGCTAATAAGGGCTCTATAACTGTAAACCTGTCATACCCCCCTCCGCCCCTCCGCCCCTCCCAAGAACACGTAGGACCCTGAACGCATACCCGTTGAGTGCTCCACCTCCATCCAAGGCCACGTGTATAACACCAGACACTGACTTCCCTGACGGAAAAATCTGAGGCTTTACGGTACGTGTCCTCATGGATATGTCGTGCAAATGCAAACATCTCCTTGATCGTCCACGAGTTACCCATTTCACTAAAAATAATAAATAAAATTTTCCAGTCAAATCATAGGGATCCAAAGAATAATCACCTTAATAAATCCTTTCTTGAAAACGGAAATGAAAAAAGGACGTACTCATATTCAGATCTGATATCAACTCATAGTTTCTTTTCATTTACTCTACAGACCCAGCCCCATGGTTGGAGGATATAAGAAAATATCGTTTGCGGGAAGACTTCTGGAGTTAGCAGAAGGGTAAACAAACGGTCTTATTTTTTCTTAAACTGTATACGTCAGCAGGGGTCCGCTTATTTGTGGCAAATATAACGTTTTAAAAGTGCTAGAAAAGCGAATGCGAAGCCCACTACTCAAACTTGTCCAGCCTTCGAACAACCGGGACTGAAAGTTTTCAACGGACATTTCCCTTGAGTACTTTGTGCTGGACGAGTACTGAAAATTAAATTCCATACATTAAGGAAGCTTTCCCCGGAACGGACCTTTACATACAGTGAGGAATCTCTCTAGAATGGCGAACCGACCTAAACCGTTAGCGAATTTATCGTTGGCTAATTGATTCGAAGGCGAAATGACTGTTTACCTCCACAATAGTTGTCATGCTTCGCAAAATTTATTTATTTTTAACCAGAACAGGTTTTCTCTAGCCTGAGAGCAACCAAAACATTGACACTCATTACAATCCCATTTCAGCGTACGAACTCCTAGGCCTTCCCGTCCATCCTCGTACGCGGAGGAGACTGTACCTCTGACAAAGCCGTCGACTGGCAAAGGCCCGTTCCTATCGCCGGGCGTGGCTACCACTGGAGGAGGCTCGAGACCCAGTTCTCGCCCAGCCTCTCTGTTGCTGAGAGATGCCTTGGTTAATATGTTTGGGGAGGGAAAAGAAAGGTAACAATTGACATAAACTAGTTGTGCTTTTGCTTCACTGTCAGTGATCAGGTCTAGAAAACTCACACCGCGCTCGACCAATAAGGTGCAAAACTGAAATAATCACGACTTAAATACTCTTGTTTCCTGAGCTTCAAGAAGTTTGCGTTTTTTTTCTTCGCGGGATCGAATTGATTCCTTTTGCTTTCTTTGCCTCAACTTTTACGCAACTCGATCCAAAGTCGTTTTTTAATTGTTAAAGCACTGTCAGCCAAAAGACTAACTTCTCGTTACCTGCGAGTCTTTTTTTAACCAATTTTTATTCAAAATGTATATATCATTTCATTCTATCATACTGTATTTTGTTTTGTCTTTTTGCTTTACAGTGAAAGTCAGACCCAGGGTTCTGGTTCCCCGTCCAAAAGAGCTTCCAAGCGAGTATCATTCATCGACGAAGAAGCAGGACATCCGTTGGTTCAGCACGAGACCATTCCACCCGAACAGTAAGTGGCAATTTACCACATTTCAGGGGAATACTTACCACAGGTCGTCAGCCAGTCTTCGTCATAATTATTGCTGGCTTGGTCAGGCTAGATGAAGTCAATCCTGTGATCTGATTGGCTCCCTGGGTCAAACATGCTCTTTCGGAGTTGCCCGCTTTATTCCAGCAAAATCCGCTATTCTGTTATGGAATCTGGCTATGCGGTACCTCATTTCTTGATAAAGCTTGTGCGTTAGATACCTGGGTATTTGTATTTCTACCCGCTGGAAAATTATGCAAATGTACGACCATTCAGCTTTGAGGATCTGAGATAAGTGATAATTCCTTTTTCTTTTTTCTTTTTTGTTCAGAATTGAAGAAATTCACGACGAACCAGAGGAAGATGATGACAATAGCAAAGAAGAAACAGACGATACTGTGAAACCTGCAAGGTAAAAAAGTTTAATTTCCAGTCGCCGACGTTAAGCTTTGCAGCGATTTTTAATTGATTTTGCTTCGTTACGCTCCGAGCAGGTTGGTCTCGGAAACTCTCGTAACCTCGTCAACTCTTATGGTTGACGAGGTTACATCATCTCCTTCTTCTTCTTCTTAGCATATCATACAAGTGACCTAATTTTAAAATTGTCTCTTTGCAGGAGATTACCGATCCCAGCTATTCTTGTTAGGCAACCGAGTGAAGATACAGACTTTGCAGTGGATTCGCCTTCTAGAACTTCCAGGTAGAAACTTTGAAATCACA